ATCTATCTATCTATCTATCTATCTATCTATCTATCTATCTATCTATCTATCTACCTATCTATCTGTCTATCTGAGACTAGGTCTCTCTACACAGCCCTACCTGTCCTGGAACTCACTATGCAGACCAGGCTGGCCTCAGACATGAGATCTTCCTGTCTCTACCTCCTGAGTACTAGGATTAAAGGCATATGCCACCATGTTCAGTGTAAGAGTTTTTAAAAACTTATCTGTGCAGATCAGGAATGGAAAGTGCCTTACACAGCACAGTCCATTTATATCTCTACATCTCTTTATGCACAGCTGTGGTGTTGAATGAGCATGGCTCTCACATTCTCATATGTTTGGATACTTGATCCCCACTTGGTGGAACTGTTTGGGAAGAATTAGGAGGCGTGGCCTTGTTGGGGGTGATGTGTCACGGGGACAGACCTTCCCAGTTAGCTCTCTGCCTCCTGCTTGAGGATCAAGACGTATGAGTGCCTTTCTGTTTCTCTCACCCTGCCTTTGCTCTGCCATTATGGACTGCAAGCCTCTGAAACCCTAAGTCCAAGTCAACGCTTTCTTCTCTCAGGTGCTTTGCTCATGAGGTTTTGTCCTAGCCATAGAAGAGTAACTAAAGGGCCAGGCACAGTGGCACATGCTTTAAATCTCCGTACTAGGGAGGATGAGGCATGAGTTTGAGACCAGCCTGGTCTACACATCAGGTTCCAGGACAGCCAAGTCTACATGATGAGACCCTGTCTTGAAAAACAAAACAAGCAAAGAAAGAAAGAAAAGAAAGAAAGAAAGAAAGAAAGAAAGAAAGAAAGAAAGAGTAATTAACAATTTATTTATTTTTTCTTGAAAGTTAAGTACAAATCTGATTGCTCGCTTATGCTTCCTACAGATTTTACAGAGTAGGTCTTCCTGGGGCAATTTTGTTTTAAAATACTGGACTGGACTAAGGCAAACAAAGAGAACTATGTTTCTATAGCAGACAGAACCTGGCGTTTCCCTGGTTTTGAATTAGAACCTTTCGATGACTCCATATCTGGCTAAGAAACAAGACTGAGGACTTCCTCAGCATCCCACTGCCGTCTGACCACCCCTCTTTTCTCTCCAACCCTGATGTCAGCCCTGGCCTCTAACAGAAGGCAAAGCCTGGGTGTTTATTGCTGTTTTCTACAGGAGCCTTTTTGCATGTGACCCTGCAGCTGCCCTGCATTCTTATCCTATCCAGGAGTTGGCCCTCACCAGAGGCAAACCCTACAGGCCACTCTAATTGGCTTTTCACCTCTGAAACTGTGGGAACATTTCAAGGTTTTATTTACATGTTTATTTAAGCTTTTCCAGACAAGGGTTGCTCTGTGTGACAGTCCTGGCTGTCCTGGAACTGACTTGGTAGACCAGGCTGGCCTTGAACTCACTGAGCTCTGCCTGCCTCTGCCTTCTGAGTGCTGGGATTAAGGTTGTGTGCCACCACACCCGGCTTCAAGATTTATTTTCATTTGTGTGTGTGTGTCTGCAAGAGCGCACACCACCTGTGTGTGAATGCCCACAGAAGTCAGCAGGTAGTGTCGGAGCCCCTGGAATTACACGGAGTTGTGAACCACCTGCTGTGGGTGCTGGGAAGAGACCTCAGGTCTGTTCAGCAAGTTTCCTATCCATGGATCCGTCTACCTAGCTCCTAAAATAATGAGTTATAAACCTCATTTCCTTTTGTATCACCCAATCTCAGGTATTTTGTTCTAATACCAGGAAATAGACTAACAGATTGTCCTTGAGAAGATCAGTCTTCACCGCATAGGCTCAAGGGTCAACACCATCTCCTGGCAATCTTCTTGAACCCTCATCACACATTTGAAAGAGATATCCTTAGCAAATTCTCCTCAAATGGTCCAGTGTGAAGTCCACTGATGCTGTTACTCTCTTGCCATGACACTGATTCATGTAAACCAGAGGTTCCCTCTTAAGATATTTATTTTTTGTTCTTTTGAGACAGGGTTTCTCTGTGTAATAGTCCTGGCTGTCCTGGAATTCACTCTGTAGACCAGGCTGGCCTTGAACTCACAGGGACCCGCCTGCCTCTCCGTCCTGTGTTATCTGAGTGCTGGGATTAAACGTGTGCACCATCACCACCACCCAGAAAGAATTGCTTTTAGGAAACTGGCAGAGAATGTGTGAAAGGTAAGCACCTTGCATTAAGAATGCTGTCTGGAATGCTGTCCCCAGCACCAAACAGAATCCAGAAAACAATTGTTACCACATTCTCCACCTGCTTCTAGATTTGAATTAGGTGTTCCTCTGTGCCAGATGAGTGCTTAGCAACAGGGGTATCTAAGGAAAAGAAGGAGAATGAGAATAAAAAGGCATTCATGAAAAGCAACTGATTTTACTGTTTTAGAGGAAAGTTGATTCAGACACACATCACACTGGACGAGTGAAAACAAATTTTCTAAATTCCAAACCTAAGAACCATGGTCGATAATTTTTTTTTTTAAACAATTTGTTCCTGTTCCTCAGTGGAACAATGCATTAGAATTGAGACAAAGGAGATGAGTGATTTTTGAACTCCTCTCAAAGGATCTAAAACTCTTATAGAAAATGTTGTTCTATTGATGTGGGAGTCTCCTCTGTGTGCTGTTATTAACATTAATGAATAAAGAAACTGCCTTGGCTTGTTGATAGGACAGAACTTAGGTAGGTGGGGAAGATGGAACTGAATGCTGGGAGGAAGAAAGGCGAAGTCAGGGAGACGCCATGGATCCACAGCTGGAGGTAGACGTCTTGAATCTTTGCTGGTAAGCCACTGCCACATGGCGATATGCAGATTAACAGAAATGGGTTAAATTAAGATGTAAGAGTTAGCCAATAAGAAGCTAGAGCTAGTGGGCCAAGCAGTAATTTAATTAATACAGTTTCTGTGTGATTATTTCGGTTCTGGGTGGCTGGGACGGATAAGCGATTCCTTGCAACATTCTATCTCTTGATTTCTAGTGGGTCCTAGGTGCTACCCAAGGCAGTCTGGTTCCGTGGGAGAAGGGTGTCAGACCACTCCCTACGTTAGATTTGAGAAGGGCTGATGGAGTCTTTCATGATTTTCTTCAGGATGGTCTTGGTGTCCTGGGCAACTGACAGAAGTACACGTTTGTGTCTCATGCGTCCGAAACAGGGGACACAGCGACGAAAACCCGGGAGATTTTTAAGAATGCGGAAGAATCCATTCACAAACCCACAGGTCATCAGTCTCAGTCTCCAGTCCCCTCTGCGGAGGGTGTGCAGGGTTTGGGACTTCATGTCGGCCTTGTACACTTGGACTACTGTCCCCATACTCTGGGCTACCTGCTGAAGCGATTCATCGTCGACACCAAATTTGAGTCGGTATGTTCTCAGACATTCTCTCACATCTTCATTATCCCTGATGCTAAGAGGGCACTCCGAACATCCCTCATCTATTCTCTTCCTCAGGGAGGCCGCTCTATCATCAATGGTCTTCTCAAAGGCGCTCGACAGAGTGCTTAAGGGCCCACAGCATCTGATGTTGGAGAGGTCTTTATGCAGTGTGTCTCTAAGCCTTGGGAAGTCATATAGTAAAGGGTCTAGACTGGATACCAGGAATATGGGTGGTTCATTCACTCTCTCCTTCTGGAGTTCCTTCTGAATATTCTCCCGGATAGTCTGCACGAGTGGGGTCTCTGAATGGGCATGTGGCCTGAGGTCCCTGTCCAGCTTGGTCCAGACAATATAGAACCTCTTTCCCATCCCCTGGATGACTTTGGCAAGATTTACGTGGTTCGAACTGAACTGCTCAGAGGCGATGATGATGAATAAATCATACATGCTGAATTCCATCTCTTCCCTATAGCTATCTATGGTTTGGGCTGTGGCCCCCAGGCCAGGCAGGTCCCACAGTATCGCATTGGGGAAGTGGGATGAGGAGTACTTAGCCCGTGTCTGGGTGGTCCTCACCACCCCACTGGGAGCTGAGTCATCTTCCTCATGGCCAATGATTCGGAGTGCATTGATGAAAGAAGACATGCCATTGCCCGAGTTCCCAGTCACGGTGATGTTCACTGGCGTTTGGGACAATGTTTCCACGGTCTGCTTGATCCCATGTACCACGTCCAGCAATTTCCCTTCTTTCAAGGCCCTTTCAACGGTCCTATTGAGTTCATGTAAAGTGCTGTCCCCTGTCTGATACGACGTGGCAAACGGGAAGGACGACTTCAGCGGAGCATAAGGAGTCTCTGCCATGTTGGGGAGTAGCGGCTCAACCTGGAGAAGCAGAAGAGTTGTGGAGTTAGATATTGGGGTGTCGGAATCAGCGGACTTCACATCACAGCCTCGGGGTTTCAGAGCCACCACCAGAGAAGTAGCAAAGACATTTCATTTACAAGCAGAACGGTTCGGGAGACAATTGCACATTCGTAGAGGTGCAATCTCCCGATGGCGCGCAGGAGGATGGTTGGGTAGCTGCTGTGTCAAGGGCAGGACTGGAGAGGTTAGTCAGATCAGCCAGCGGGAACACAGGTCAGTCTAAATAAATGAGGCTGAATAGGCAACAGAAAGTGCTTGGCCCGGCTCTCCTCACTGAGCTGCGTGCTGGCGAGGACCCACAAGCCCTCCATATAATTTCATTATTCCTTTCTAAAAAGCACCCTCTGCCTTTTCCTTTTTCAAATGATATTTTTATTGGGGGATCAAATTTTTCTTGTAAATGCTCATGTCCCATCGACTTTAACCGATGAATCAAAACAATTTCTAATAGCCGGCCACTGACGTTTTTGAGCAGTATTTACGTTTGTACATTTCTGTGCAGGACTGTGGGTAGTGTTGTTATTACTGTAGGTACTCAAGTGAATGTTGAAAGCAGATTCTTCTTGTTGGCTGGTCCCTTGCAATGAAATTAAAGCATTAGTGGGACTGACCCAGGACTGAGAAAAGAACCAGTTGGTTCACCAAGTGGATTCTACACAAGCTTACAGCACACAAACTGCTCCTTACTGATAGACTATGCTATCCTCTCTTAAAATTCAACCTTTTCCAGGTGTTGGCGCACGCTTTTAATCTCAGCACTAGGGAGGCAGCTGGATCTTTGTGAGTTCAAGGCCAGCCTGGTCTACAGGACAAGTTCCAGAACAGCCAGGACTCTTTCACAGAGAAACCCTGTCTCGAAAAACCGAAGGAGAAAAAAAATTCAACTTTCCTCTTGTGCATGATTATAAATAAAAAAATTCCACCACTCAGGGCTAGTGAGATGGCTCAGTAGCTAAGGGTACTTGGTGCTTAATCTGATGATCTGAGAACAATCCCAGGAACCCTCATGATGGAAAGAGAACTGACTCCCTGAAGTTGTCCTCCAGCCACTCCCACATGCATGCCTGAGCATATGTACACACACACACACACACACACACACACACACACTGTAATAAGTTAAAACAATTCTAAAATCCAAGGCCTTCTTTTTTAGAAACAGAGCCTTTCTGCTGCATTAGGAGCACCCAATGGGACGTCTGGAGACCTGTTTGCTCTTACTGAGGGGGGAGGTTTCCCTCTAAGACCCTGCTATGTATCAGTAGGGCACACTCATGACTATGATATGTCACACAGTGCAGTTTCTCACCTTCCATAATCTCCTTGGGCTTGGGCACCACCTTCACTTATACCTCTCCTAGGATAGCATCTGAATATAATCCAGCTCTGTTCCCCATAGCCTTGGAACTTAGATTCTTCCTCTACAGAAGGACTCGGGCCAAGTGACCCTTCTGTGTTTGAGGTGCTCAACTCCTTGTAACATGGACACACTCCTGGAACACCAGTTTCTGCCCCGAGCACCAGAAAAGAATGCGACCCACCTCCCAGGGTTTGTGTGATGGGTTCATGACAAGCTCCGGGTGATGCTCTCTGCACACCTCTCGGTCTCTTGGTGAGGCTCTCTGGTTTTATTAGGGTCTCCGAGGAAGCCGGTCCTCGGGTTCTTCCTCCACTCTTCGACTTTAACCACACAGCAAGTAGGTCCTTTGTCTGTGAGTCTGTGTTGGGTCCTTCGAATGCCTTATCTCACTTAATAGTCCTTAAGCCCTGTTAGATAAGTGGTATTCATTATTGTTGATTGTGGGTGAAGAATCAGAGAATTATGAAGAAATTGTCTTTTTTTGAGACAGGGTCTTGTTTTGTAGACAGGCTGACCTCAAATTTATGATCCTCCTGTCTCAGTCTCTCTAGTGTTGAGATTACAGGAGAATATCACCAAGTCTAAGAATCAGTCTTGAATTACACACAGTGTGTAAGGAATTCACAGGTTGACCCTGGCAAGTGACTCCTGGCATAGTGAGGACAATCCTACCTAAGAGGATTTGATGCATGCTGAGGGGTTTCCCTTGGGAACCCTGGTCTACTCACTGCCACCAATTGTCATTTACACCTTATATGGGCACACATTTTATAATTTCGGAAACCAATGTGTCTGTCCTCTTTGAGGTTTACCCTAAAACTGAATTGCAGTGGTAAAGGAAACTCCCCCAATGTCTCCAACGACTCAGAGCTTGCTTGGGGGGCTTACACTCAGCGAGAGACCAAGAGGCTTCATCAAATGATGCTAGAGGTGCCCAGAGTGCAGTGGGAGGGAGGATATGGGAAAGGTCGCTGGCACATATCCCTGCACAGAGGCTGCAAGCCCTTCAAACCAGTGACAACGGAGACTACCCAGAGTCTTGCTGCAGCGGACTCCTTCTCCAGCAGAGTGCTCCTGCAGCAGTGCCGGTGCCAGACCTGAGGTGATGTGGCTCAGCCAGGGTACTGCCTCCTGCTTCAGAATGTCAAGGTGTCCAGAGCTGGGTATAGAGGCACCATGATGGGCTGGTATACTCTGAGGCAACGTTGGCTAGAAGCTAGGGGAATGAAGCCTGACAAAATCCAGGAGCAGAGAACATTCTGCAGTGGTGTGTGGAGACGGGGGAACAGAGGACAGCTGGGCGACGTTTAGTAACGTCCTGTCCTCAAGGCAACTCTTCCCTCCTTGGCTGTTGCTGGCCAAGGTCAGGTTCTGCGTCTGCTTTGCTTTGCTGTGAGTTTTACTCTCCAGGGCAGAAGATGAGCGCAGACCACGCTCTTCTCAGGGCTGTTTACGTGACTGGCTGGAGATGGGGGCTTCCCACACCTGCACACCCTGTACCGGACCCTGTGGGAGATGGCGCAGGTCACGGCTGCACACAGGATCCGGTAACTCTCAAGAGGGTTGGAACCTGCCTCAGTCCATGTATTGTAAGCAGACTTGGAAAGGCATGGGTAACTGTGTAAAGCTACAAGTTTCTTTGGGGAACCACTTGGGAGAGTGCTGTCGCGGGTAGCTGTGGGGTACCATAGGTCAGAACACTGACCCAGTATTGGCAAAGAGCCCATTGAATTCTTTTTGGGATTCATGTGTCCTCCCGCTTCCTTTTTTTGGAGGCTCTTTCCTAGCTTATACCCCTAGTTCACCTCCTCTGTGCAAGGTTGAAGATGCCCACAGAAGAGTGTAGATCCCTGTGACTTCCGGAGGGAGCTCAACAACTAGCTCCAACCAGAGAGGGGAGCTGGGCCTGGGAAGGAGAGGCAGACCCTGTGAGCAGTGCCTTTGGGGTCTCCCGCAGACACAGAACTAAGAGCATGCTCACACACTTGTACACAGCTGCATGCTCACACACTTGTACACAGCTGCATGCTCACACTTGTACACAGGTGCATGCTCACACACTTGTACACAGCTGCATGCTCACACGCTTGTACACAGATGCATGCTCACACGCTTGTACACAGCTGCATGCTCACACGCTTGTACACAGATGCATGCTCACACGCTTGTACACAGCTGCATGCTCACACACTTGTACACGGCTGCATGCTCACACACTTGTACACGGCTGCATGCTCACACACTTGTACACAGACGCATGCTCTTAAAGGTGGTAGGTACCACACGGTTCACCCCGGCACTGCTTCCTTCCGCCTTAGTTCATTGAACTGAGTTTTACTATTTTCTACTCCAATTAATTAACTTGAAAACATGCTTATTATAGTGCACTCCATAAATTTTGTGGCTTACCTGATGCAAAATGAAGCCCATCTACAAGTGGATTTTTTTTTCTGTGTAGGACTCTGTGTAGTTTGTGTATCATAGCTGTTATAAATCTCCATCAGAGAGACTCATGGAGATGTGGAGACCAGAACACACTAGTAACAAAGTTAAATCAAGGATTTTGGTGAACTGATAGTCCTGTGTGTGCTGAAATCCTCATCTATTCCTTATTCAATCACCATTAGGGAAGACTGAGAGAAAAGTCAAGAAGTTTCTTTATCTCTGAGAGTGTGATAAGCTTCCTCAAGGTGAATGGGGACAGTACTGAGCCCGGTACGCTCTGGGAAGATGGTGTTTGAAAAGTCAGTTAATTTATAGGTGGACGAATTGGTGCCTTAAACAGAGCCACTACAATGCGTATAAACATTTGGATGGAGTCAGGCAAAGAGGTCGCTAAGCTACCTTATATTCAAAACCCACCCTAAGGTCCAGAAAAGGAGCAAATCCTTCTTTTCATATTTTTCAGGTATCTTAGACATTGCCTGTGGTCCATTCTGATCGTGGGAATTTATTCTTGTGGAGAGGCGAAGAGTACCATCTTAGACTCTAAGAGAATATGGGTTGGCACACTCAGCCCTCCTTCTTCAAATTTAGTCACCATTAGAAGACCCACAGGCCAAGAATATGCAGGTGAGCTAGATAGACCTTTGCCTCCATGCTGGTTTGATCAGCAAAGATATGCTGAAGACAGTCAGAGAGAGGCCCTGCTGTGCAGAGAGGAAATAGGCCAGACCTCAAGGTCCTGTGACCTGGTGTCAAAGCTTTGCTTCTCTCTCTCTCTCTCTCTCTCTCTCTCTCTCTCTCTCTCTCTGTCTCTCTCTTTCCAAGTGCTTTCTTTTTTATTTTTTATTTAAATGCAAAATTTTTGTTTTTTATTTTTCCTACCACCACAGTAACCCCTCCCTCCCCTCTTCCCACTGCCCCCTCCCCTCTCAAACTCCCATCTACTCCTGTGAGAGGGTAAAGCCTCCCATGGGAGTCAACAACACAGTCACAGTTCTCTTTGTCATAGCATAAGGATGGAAGTTGCAGGAGATTGGGGCGACCAAGCTATACTTAGAGGCTTTTACTTACAGGCTCCAGAGGAGGGAGTATGTGGGATCCAGATGTTCGAGCCTCCCTGGAGTGCTACTCCTTCTTAGAAAACGTTTGTCCTCCTGCAGAGGTTCTCTATGGAGAGATCGGGACCTGAAATCCAGACCCGGGATATTCGAGATGCAGAGGTCTGGAGTCCTTCCGAGAGACCAGCTAGGAAGAGCAGGAGCTGGCTGACTGCGTGGATCGCCTTTGCAGACCTTGCTTTTTGTCCTGCACTCGCTAGATCTGAGTGTTGATGCCAAGACAGGACAGGGAGGGGATTCCGGTGAGAGTAGGTTTCAGTTTCAGATTCCTGGAAACAGCTGGTTTAAAGGAGAAGGCTGGGCAGGCTACATAGTAGTTTTCAGAGAGGGGGCTGTGCTTATCTGAGTTCAACAAATGTGGGAATGGGAATGGGGATGGGACAGGGGGATGGCTTGCCAAATCTGCTTAGGGACCTTAACAGTCAGCCCAGGGTCAGAGTATCCTGTGCCTGGACCTGCTACTTCTTTACATAGACACTAACTGGGCAATGTTAACCTTCAGACTCAGAAACACTGACCCCTCAGGTGCTTGGAGACACGGGCAGCAACCTTGTTCTGTGTGATTGTTTTCCCTGTTTGCTGGCTCACTCAATTATCCCCAGGGAGTGGGGAATCAGGTTCTGGTCCTTGCAGTGTTTGAGTGAGAAGAGGGTCTGAGCTGGAAGGGCCCAGATTTCATTTTCCTACAACCCAAGAGTTAGTTTATTAGAATTGCACACCTGAGCAAAAGCAGGCATTGGAGACTTTGACCCCAGCCTAGAAACACTGACCCTCATGTGCTATTGTCTTGAAGAAAAACAGACGTGTTTTCTGGCAACGGGTAACAGGCCCAGTGACAAAGGGAGGAGGCGAGAGGAGCCATGCTGCTTTCAGAGGGTCAGGGCAGCTCTGTCATCTCCTTTGCCGCTTTTCTGTACCCACTGGCGAGTTCTCACCGCACAGCTGAGTAAAGAGGAGCAGGGGTGTGTATGCAAGCAGAACTGAGCCTGCTTCATACTCACTGTGGAGGGAGACAGGCTGGGTGAGAAGGAATGAGGAGGCTCACCCAGACCCTTTCCAGCGCCCTGAACACAACTTCTGCCTACTTGCAGGCTCCCTGTTGCCCAGAGGTTTGCGCAATGTAACCCCGTGGTCACAAAGAGCCCTGTCTGTCACCCCTCCAGGTGACCAGTCATGCGATCCTCTATTGGCAATTGTAGCTTTCACTTTCTCCTTCCCGGAAAAGACTGAGTTGCCCAGAAGAGTTATAAGTGTGGGTGCCGTTCACATTCCTGCTGCTGTTTAATGAACTGGAGGTTTCGAGTGAAAGCCAGAAGCTGTCCCTCCTGTTTGCTTCTCTCTAAGTCCTACGCCTCTAGGCAGAGCCCGGGGAGAAACCACGCAAGTCTCTGGCTGATTTCTACCTCTGTCTTTAGAGACTGGTGGGGGCTGTCGGTCTGTCCTGCTTTCTTTATGTGAGTTCACAAGAACAAATAGGAGCAGGTCTCAGGGTGGCACAGGAAGATCAGGAAGGGAGCGTCTGGAACCTTCTCTATAAATGAGCCAGAGCTCCAGCCCAGGCAGTGTTTCCCTGGACCCCAGAGTCAATCCTCTCATGCTCTTGCTCTTGGGGGGGAACTGAGGCTAGGCACAGCAGGGTTCGTTGCGATTGGGCATCAAGGAAAGGTTCCTCAAAGTAGGATGCTGTAATGGCTGGATGCAGTGTGTGGACACAGGGTAATCAGAGCACAGGCGGCCTGTCCTTGAAAATGCCATTTGCCGAGGACCTTTGGGTGGGCCGGTCTGGAGTTAGACCTCCCTGACAAGGCAAGGCTGAGGGTTAACGTCAGGTGGGCACCTGGTTAGAAGCTGTGTGTGAACTGGGCCATGGGGACACATGCAGAATCTAATCAGTTGAGAGACAGAGGTAAGGAGATAAGGAGAGTTTGAGTTGCAGACGAACTTGTGTTATAGTAGCGAGTTCCAGGGCAGCCTCAGCTTCATAGAGAGACTTTCCAAAGAATTTAGAAAAAAATCACATAAACAAACAAACAAAAAAAGGAAGGTGTCTATTTCGGTCACCTTGCTGTGCAAGGAATGTGGAAGTTCAATGACCTCAAGCTCCAAGTCTGTCACCATCTTCTTCACTTTGTGTGTGTGTGTCCTTCTGAGTGAAAGATTTATTAGGAGAATTCTTAGAATGGTGGAGAGACAGCGTAGTGGAGGCTATAGGAGAGCTCAGACCCACAAGGCAGAGCAGAGGGCTCCTTTGAAGAGGTTCAGGAGAAGAAGGAGGCTCCATGCCACACGATGTTTGAGCAGTCCATAGTGCATGCCCTTGTCGGGCTCTCCGATTCCTGGAAAGTTCAGTGTAAGGGGTGCCTTATGTTTTGGGGAAGGAATGAGTGACTTTGAATATGTGTAGGAAGTGGAGGAAGGACCTCATTTAGCTACTGGGTACCCCTCATATGGGATATGCTGCCGATAGTCCCTGATACCTTGGAGTCTGGTGGACTGGGCTTCCCTGTACACAGTATGAGGGTGGAGTGAGACAGATAGGTCTGACCTGAGAAGGTCTGGTTTGGATTCTAAGTGGTGTGTGTGTGTGTGTGTGTGTGTGTGTCTGTCTGTCTGTCTGTCTGTCTGTCTGTCTGTCTGTCTGTCTGGGAGGGGCTGAGGCAGCATTTCTCTGTGTAACTCTGAATGTCCTGGAACTTACTCTGTAGATCAGGTTGGCCTCAAACTCAGTGATCTGCCTACCTCTGCCTCTTCAAGTGCTGGGATTCAAAGCATGTACCACCATCTCCCAGCAAGATTTCTTTTTAACGATGAATTTGTTTTATGCATATGAATGTTTTGATGGTATGTGCATGCACACTGTGTGAGCCTGGTGCCTGCAGAGGCCAGAAGAGAGTGCCCGATTCCCTGGAACTGGAATTAAGGATAGTTGTGAACCACCATATGGGTGCTGGAAACTAAACCTGGGGTCTTTTGCGAGAATAGAAAAGTGCCCTTTTTGACAAATGTTTTGAGATAGAATCTCACTGTGGTCCTCCTTGGCCTGGAACTCTCAGTGTAGGCCAGGCTGGCCTTGAACCCACGAAGCTCCACCTGTATCTGCCTCCTGAGTGCTGGAACTAAAGGCATGAGCTACCATGACCAACACAGACCCTTAACATCTGAGTTATTCAAGATCCAGCTTCAATAGGCTTTCACTCTGATTAATCATTAATCCACTATAGACAGAAAGGGAAGGTCAAGGGCTATAAAATACACAGCACAAATGTTTCTCTGTTTATCTGACACTCAAGTGGCTGTGGGGACTGCCTCCCTCTGGTGCTTTTCCCCTTCCGTTCAACAGTGACATCCTGGTACTGTTCCTTCATTCCCACACCAGGTTACACCTCACAGAAAGATTCATGCTGACTCACCCTGGATGAGCAGGGTTTTGTACATAGCTGGGTGACCTGTCAATCACAATCTCACACGTATCACACACGGAGGCATGCCCATGTACAGACAGACATGCACAAGTCCATATGCACACGAACACACACACACACACACACACACACACACACACACACACACTCATGCCCAAACAACTTGCAACCACAGAGCCTTGTACCCACTATTGTTACAGGCTAATTAGTTCTCCTCCGATTTGCATTGTGACTAAAGAAAGGGCCCTAGTATTCCTATCAGGGGTAGTATAGGTGCCTTAGCTCCAAGATCAGCAAATTTAGTTTCTCATGGGCCTTGTTATTATTATTACTG